GGGTTGTCTTTAAACTCTGATGGCTAGGACTTCTGACTTTAATCCAGTTTATCAGTAATTTCTTCATGGCTAGTCTTTTTCTTTGTGTGTATCTATATACATGGGATACTGGGGATTAACCAAGGGCTTCCTGGCTGCTATTTAAGCACTGTACCACTGAGCTCTATAGCCCCAGCCCTCTTTTTACTTTTATGTAAAGACAGAATCTCAGGGATGGAGAGATGGCTCAGAGGTTAAGAGCACTGACTATTCTTCCAGAGGTCCTGAGTTCAATTCCCAGCACCCACATGGTGACTCACAACCATCTGTAATGTGTTCTGGCACCCTCTTCTGTCATGAAGTTCAGGCATATATGCAGGTAGAACACTGTATACTTAATAAATAAATAAATCTTTAAAAAACAAAAAATGGATAAAGAAAATGTACACACACTCAGCAGTAACACTCAGCAGTAAGAACAATGACATCTTTAAATTTGCAGGCAAATGGGCAGAACTAGAAAAATCCATCCTGAGTGAGGTAATCCAGACCCAGAAAGACAAATATACTCAATGATAAGTGGATACCAGACATAAAGCAAAGGGAAATCAGCCTACAATCCACAGCCCTAGAGAAGCTAAAACCCTCTTCCAGAAATGGAAGCAGATGCAGAGATCCACAACTAACCATTGGGCTGAACTCCTGGAATACAATTGAAGTGAGGGAGAAGCAAAGTTATTTAAAAAAAAAAAAAAAAGTCAAGACTGTGATGGGGAAATCCACAAATCAGCTGAACCAAGCTAGTGAGAGGTCACTGACTCCAGTCTGACAACCGGGGGACCTGCATATTCAGGGAATAGGGTTCCCTGAATACAGGTGACAATGGTGTGGCTTGGGCAGTATATGAGACCACTGGCAGTGAGACCAAGATCTAACTCTAATGCATAAACTGACTTAGTGGAGCCCATTCTATATGGAGAGAATCCTTGTTCGGCCTAGATGGGGGTGGGGGTGGGGGCTTGGTCCTGCCTCACCAAGGTGATGAGACAAACATAGCTGACTTCCTAGGGGAAGCCTTACCCTCTCTCAGGAACAGATGGGAGGTGGGATGGTGGAGAGGTGGGAGGAGGGGTAGGAGAGGAGGGAAGGGGAACTGGGATTGGAATGTTTATAAAAAAAATGAGTCTTACTAAATTCCCCAGGCAAGATTTAAACTCATTTTGCAGCCCAGGTAGGCATTGAACTTGTGATTCTCCTGCCTCAGTCTTCTAAGTAGCTGGATTACAAACCTGTGCCACCAAGACTGGATCTGCAACATCAGTCTCTTGTAAACTTCTCTAAGATACCTTCATATCTACCCTGTGAGGACATACGTCTCAGGGCTCTTCCACTGCTACTCTATGCTAGTCACCTAGTTCTCCATGGATGATGTCACGGCTAATTTGTCAAGTCAGCTTTGCCAGCAACCATGCTCCCCAGCAGTCCTTACCTCCACCTTGGGCCGCCTGCAACACCAGAATGTGATGGTGGACTTCTATTTGGGTGTTGAAATCCAGAACAAGAAAAGCATCCTGACCCTGAAGTATCCCATGGAGCAAGGCATTGCTACCAACTGGGACAACATGGAGATGATTACATCATACCTTGTACCATGAGGTACCTGTGGCCCCTGAGGAGTACTCCATGCTGCTCTCTAAGGCATTCCTGAACTCTAAAAACAACCATGAAAAGATAACCCAGATTGTGTTCAAAATGTTTGACACCCAAGCCATTGCATGGCTATGCAGGATGTGCTGTCCCTGTATAAGCCTGGTGGCACCACCAGCATCATGATGGACTCTGGAGATAGTCACCTACACATGCCCATTGACAAGGGTTATGCTTTCCTCACAGCATCCTGTATCTGAACCTGGCTGGCTGGGACCTGACAGACTATCTCATGAAAATCTTGACTGAGCATGGCTACGACTTTACCGCCACAGCCAAGGGGGGGGGGGAATTGTAATGACATCAAGGAGAAGCTATGCTGTCATTCTAGACTTGGAGCAAGAGATGGTCACTGCTGCATCCTCCTCCCTGGAGAAGAGCTACTAGCTGCCCCACCACCAGGCCATCTCTGTTGGCAAAGAGCAGTTCCATTGTCCCAAGGCCTTCTTCCACCCTTTCTTCCTGTGTGTGACATCTACAAAACTACTGTCATTTCCATCATGAAGTGTAATGTCAACATCTCTAAAGACCTCCATGCCAACCAGTGCTGTCTGGTGGCACCACCATGTACCCAAGCATCATCGACAGGGTGCAGGAGATCACTGCTCTGGCTTTTACCACTGTGAAGATCAAGAGCACAGCACTCTTGTGGATTGGCAGCTCCATCTCCACCTCACAACATTAGATAACATGGACATCACCTTGTGTTTTGTTTCATTTTAATTCATTTTGGTTTTGTTTTCTTTTGGTGCTTTGGGCTCAGGATTTAAAAACTCGAACAGTGAAGGCAACTGCAGTTGGTTGGAGCAAGTAGCCTCAAAGTTGTGGGTAAGGGCTGACTGTGCATTGTTTGTTTGTTTAATAACCATTCCAATGAGCTCTTCATCCTCCCACAACTGATCCCTACTCTGAAAAGGGTGATGACCCAGACTGTGTCCCGAGTCCAAGCAGGGAAGGTGATAGCATTGCTTTTGTATAAATTATATTACAGATTTTTTTTTAATCTTCTGCTGTGGTGGTTTGAAAGAAAGTGGCTCCCATAGGGAGTGGCACTGTTAGGAGGTGCAGCCCTGTTGGAGCAGGTATGGCCTTGTTGGAGGAAGTGTGCACTGTGGGGGTGGGCTTTGAGGGCTCTTATGATTAAGCTGCGCTCAGTGTGGCACAGAGTTGCTTCTGTTGACTGTGGGTCAAGACGTAGACATTTTCCTGCTTATGCCTCCAACTGCTAGATTAAAGGCATGCTTGTCTGCTAGTGTCTTTCTCTCTACTCCCTCCTTCCCCGATCTCATTTGGTTTTTGTTGTTTGTTTATTTGTCTGTTTTTTAAGATTGCACTTGGGCTGGGGAGATTGCTCAGAGGCTAAGAACACTTCCTGTGCGTACAGAGGCCAAAAGTTAGAATACAAATCCCATGTTGAGTGAGCATCTGACAACTCTCTTACCTCTGTGGGAACCTGTATACACATCACCTACATTCATGCAGACACATACACACATAAAAAAAAATTGCCCTGGATTTTCTTGGTTCTTTGTAACCAGATTAATTTTAGAATTAGCATGCCAATTATGCTAATGGTTGAATTATGATTCTTCAGATCTGTATATCAGTTCTCGGAGAACTATTTATTGAAGTTTATCATCTTCCAGCAAGGTATGTTCCTCCACTTAATTTAATAGCTTTTGGTTTTCTATGTGGAGTTCTTATACATACTGTGGTAGATTAAGTCCTTAGTGGTGGATGTAATATCAATAAACACCAATGGTCTTTTTTTAAAAATTCAATCTTAAAAATGCTTTTACATAGCTTATTGTTCACACCTGAGTATAGTTTACTTTGAATGTTGACTGTGTATCCAGTGTCCTTTCTTGTTGGTGAGTTTCCCAAAGCCATTTGACCCCAAATAAACACATATCCTGTTGGCCGGTGGCTTGGGCTTCTTATCGGCTAGCTCTGTCTTAATTATTAACCCATTTCTATTAATCTAAGTATTTCCATGTGATCTTATCTTACTGGAGAAGGGTCTGGACCTGTTATTCCTTCCTCTGCTACATGTCTTCTGTTCTCTGCCTACACTTCCCATACTACTACTTATCTCCTAGCCCCGCCTATCCTTCCTGCCTGGCCACTAGGCAAACAGTGCTTTATTCATTAAACAATAAGAGAAACATATGTACAGAAGGCACCCACCCATCAGTTTCTAAATTGTGTTACTAATTCTAAGAGTGTTGTTCGTAGATTCTTCTGAACTTTGTGATCTACCAATAATGGTTGTTTTCCTTCTTCCAGTCTATATGTGTATTAGTTTTCTTCCCTTCTTGCACAAGCTAGTATCTGGTGCCACATGGGACAGAAGAGATGGTGCTATGACACCCTTGTTTCACTGCCAGCCTTGAGGACATCACTCAGTAGTTTGCTGTGGATGGTTAGGGATGTTCTTCACTAGGGTGAGGAAGTTGCCTTTTAGTCCCAAACTGCTGTGACTTGAGGTTTTTTTGTTTCTGTTTGGGGGTTTATTTTTGTTGCTCTGGGGATGGAGCCCAGAGCTTCATGCAGAACAGCAAACACTCTCCCACTGGGCTGTATCCCTAGCCCCATGTTTCTTACAAATAACAGAGGAGGGGGTGTTGGGGTGTAGCTCAGAGGTAGAGTGCTTGCCTGGTAGATACAAAGCTCTAGGCCTTCCTCCACTCGATGATGATGATGATGATGATAAAATAGCAGCTCAGCCAGAGAGATGGCTCAGTGGTAAGAACACTTCCTACTTTGAACAGGACCAGAGTTCAGTCCCTAGCACCCACATCAGGCAGCTTATGGTCAAACCACTTGTAACTCCAGCTCCAGGCATCCTGAGTCTATGGAGATGTGCAGGCATTTAATTTTCCACTTTATTTTGTTATTTGTTAAAATATTATTACATTTATTTATTGTGTATGTGTGATATATACCATAGCGCATGTGTGGAGGTCAGAGGACAACTTGCAGGAGAATGACACAGGTTTGAATTACCAAACCAGGAAAATAATTGAAAAAAAAAAGTAAGTTTATAGTTTAATATTGGACTCTATTCATAGCTATCTTGGGGTGCATTCAGCCTGTAGGCACAGCTGGGACATGCCTGGTAACGTATGGCTTTGGTATGAAATAGTCGATGTTGATACTCTGGGTTTTACTTATTTCTTCCCTGTACAGCCCTGGCCACTTCTTCTTTTCTTTCCAGCTGTAGAGGCCTCCACACAGGAGAGTGTGGCCTGAGCCTGGTTCTGAGGACTCCCTGCCATCAGGCCACTTGCTCAGATCTTCTGAGACAGCTTCATCATCTCTGGCAGAATGAATGCCCTTGATGGTGTCCCCTTCAAGGTGCCCAAGGGCTTTGTGATGGACACAGAGCCCCACCCTGCTCCAGAGTTCAGTGTCCGGGACTGTAGAGAGCTTCTGCTGGGCTCCATGGTAAGTGAATCTCTGACTGTCTAGCTCTGTCCTTGGATCTGACATCTAAGGAGGCTGAGCCCCAGAGGCCTGTCTCATGACTCTAAAGGGAAGCTTGGTTTGCTTTCCAAGAGTCTAGGGAGTCTGAAAATAAGCCAACAGGTTCAGTGGAGAAGTCTGGTGTCTTAAGTTATTTCCTAGGTCAGCTGAGACCTGCTTGTGAGAGTTGCTTGTGTGTGTGTGTGAGCTGCTTGTGTGTGTGTGTGTGTGTGTGTGTGTGTGTGTGTGTGTGTGAGAGAGAGAGAGAGCTGCTTGTGTGTGTGAGAGAGAGCTGCTTGTGTGTGTGAGCTGCTTGTGTGTATGAGAGCTACTTGTGTGTGTGTGAGCTGCTTGTGTGTGTGAGCTGCTTGTGTGTGTGTATGTGTGTGTGAGAGCTGCTTGTGTGTGAGAGAGCTGCTTGTGTGTGTGTGTATGTGTGTGAGAGCTGCTTGTGTGTGTGTGTGAGCTGTTTGTGTGTGTATGTGTGTGTGTGAGCTGCTCGTCACTGCCACTGTGCTCCATCTCATCCTCTTCCACATCAGCTGTTAGAATCACTCTTGGTGATAAGGCTCCATTTCCAGAATCCTCTGGTTACAAAAACAAGCACAAGCAGCTAGCCAGGCAGTAGTGGCACATGCCTTTAATCCCAGCACCTGGGAGGCAGAGCAGGCAGAGCTCTGTGAGTTCAAAGCCAGCCTGGTCTACAGTAAGAAGTTCAGAGTAGCCGGGGCTACTCATCAGAGAAACTCTGTCTAGGAAGGAAGGATGGAAGGAAGGAAGGAAGGAAGGAAGGAAGGAAGGAATGATCATTCTGTGGGTACTTTAGGAGGAATGGTAGTCCACATTGGCAAGGGCCTGAAAGGACCTCAAGCCTCTCCCTCCTGCCCTGTAGTGGGCATAGCCCATAGCCTCAGGATAAAAGAAAGGAATTAATTGTCTACAGAATCAAGTTTACTTGAAGATTTTAGGGGAAAGATATGTTGCATTTACATTATACTAAAACACAGGCTATAGCTGTAGCTTGGGGAGAGGAGTTGCCTATATCATAACATAGATGTATCATAAGGTAGACGCAGATTCATATAACTTGAAAATTAAACAAGAACTTTGAAGTTGATCTGGGGCTCCCATGTCTGGTATCACATGCTATATAATCCAAGCCCCTGAGAGGCTGAGGCAGGAAGACCCTGAGTCAAAACAGAACAGCAACAATAAGGATCTGATTCAGCTCCACTCTTTGTACATGAGAAACCTGAGGCGCAGAGAACAAAGATGACTCATTCAGGAATTGCCCGAGGCAAGCCTGATATCTAGTCCAGGTCTTCAGAGAGAAAAGTAAAAAAACAGGTAAGGTTTGTAGGGGGAAATAATGTAAAACCCACAGGAGGGAGAGGAGAGGTGGGGGATTCGGAGTGGATAGTTCAGAGCACAGTGTAGGAAGGAGAGATGGGCGGGTGGAGTGGAGAGACTCCAGTGGCCTCCAGCACAGTGCCGGTCCTGCTCTTTGTTCACAGCTCTGACTGGTCCTGCAGCCTGCATTGTGGCCTCTCTTTCTCTGACACAGGCCTGTGTCACTGAGGAGAGGAACTTGATTGCCAGTCTTGCATAGACGACAACCAGCCAGAAGCCCTTATGTGTGCATATGCCAAAATAACCAACCACTTTTCCTTTTTTACTCAAGTGTGTATTTTTTGTTTTCATTCAATGTATTATAAAATCCTTCTTTATTCATTTGTTTTTCAAGATAGGGTTTCTCTGTGTATCTTTGGCTATCTCAGATCCCACTCTGTACACCAGGCTGGCCTTGATCTCACAGAGATCCACCTGCCTCTGCTCCCAAGTAAAGGTATGTGCCGCCACTGTCTAGCTCTGTTCTGCTTTTAAGTGATCTGACATGCAGTGGAGGAAACTCTGTAGTCAGAGAGACAGAAACACAGCTCAGCCACATACCACTAATCTGTCCTCAACAAGAGACATCATCTGGAAACAGGAAGGACACCTGAACCCACTAAGTAGAGTTCAGTGAAGATTAGGTTATTACATATTCTGGGCCCTAAAATAATCTTGGGTATCAGCAAAGGGAGTGAGGACAGGTGTTACTGCTGTCTGAGGAGGTTTCTCTGCTGGACCCACTTCTTAGGGGGACAGCTCTGTGGCGGGTGGTCCCGGCCCAGGTGAAAGCTGCTTTACCAAGAACACATTAATCTAAACATGTAGTCCAGGATGGCCTTAAATTCACTATGTAGCCCAGAAGGACCTCGACCTTCCTGTTTCCCTGACTCTGCCTCTCAAGCGCTGAGCTCATGGGTGTGCAGGACAGTGCCCAGTTTATGTGGTACTAGGTTTGGAACCTGGAGATTTGTATGCAAGCCCTCTACCCACTGAACTAAGGCCCCTGACCCCCAAAGTTGTTTCTACTGAAGTGTCTTGAGGTAGCTGTTGCTCAGTGACATACTGAATGGCGAAGGGTTTTAAATATTGGAGTTTTACCATGGTTTCTCTCTCTGTTAACACATTACTTGATTTTCCCCTCATATCAGGGTTTTGCCATTGAACTGTTAAGATGTCTGTGGGCCCCAGAAACACCTGGAAAGGAGGATGGGAGTGGGCTATGAGGATATCCAGAGCTTAGAGCCAGGAGCTTTCCCCTTATGGCAAATTTGACTGAACAGGGTCCCCAAGGCAGCACTGAGGGCCATGTCTCCACAGCTCTGGCTTGCCACAGCTGAGCCTCACATCACGCATCTCTCTTCAGCATGACTTCAGCCTGGAAAGGAAGGCTCTCTTCTGGGTGGAAGCACTCATCCGAGGTCCTTCTCCCAACCAATGCAATGACCTGGGAATTGCATCAGCTCCCCCAGCCTGGCTCTTACTAGTCAGTCCAAAAGACAGTCTGGTGCCTGCACCCGCTGAAGTCCGAGGCCCAGAAGCTGAACTACAAGAACCTCCTGAAGAGGAAGAAGGGGAGGAGGAAGAAGAAGTAGGGGAGAAGAGGGACGAGGAAGATGCCTCCTCTGCCAGTGAGGAGGAGATGAACTCCAGCAGCCCTCAGCCCAGCTCCCCTGCAGGTCATCGACGCTGCTCCCTGAATGTGCTGAGAAACATGAGGTCTGAGCTGTCTGGTGCCCGGCGACGGCTCTCAGAGAGCAGACTAGCCACGTGTCCACGAGCCCTTCTGCACCGCTTCCGAGGCCACCGCACTTTGAGCCTGAGTGCCAGCCCAGCGCCAGCCCCTGGTCCAGCTCCGCAGCCCCCCAGCATCCCCGAGCTGCCTCCACGACCCTCCACTGCTGGCACCATGCCTCCACTGCGGAGCCACAAGCCCACTGACGCTGTAAGAACTTTGTGTTTCCCTCCAAAGTCACAGGTCCTAAGCCAAGGTCTTCCAAGTTGAGGGTCCCCAGCATGGGTTTCTTCCTCCATGTACTGCTCTCTGCTCATCAGCTCCCATCTGGCCCTGAGGTCCTGTCCTTGCTGCAGCCTAGTATATTCTGCTTGGAGGCTCACCACTCTCTGGATTTCCCACATGGGCATATGTCACAATGGTTACCAATCAGTTTCTAGTCCCATCTTTCTCTTGCAGTGGAATATTAATTCTTTTAGGGGTGGGAGGGGGTAATGCTCATTTTTGTTTCCTGACCACCTAGCAGAGGACCCTACCTACAGGGGGAGCTCATGAAAGCATGTGCCTCAGACTCAGCTCTGGGGCTTCACACTGAGCAGGCTGGAGAAGCTGGTGGCTCAGTCTAGAAATATTCATGGAATAGTTGCTTCCCACCAGACATGCAGAACAAGATAGTTGGTCAAGATGTGGGGAGAGGCCCAGACTCCAGTGTGGGATCATCTTTGACAGACAGGGCTGATGCAGACCAGGATGGAGGGAGTGCATAGAAAACTGGCAGCTCACATGTTCCAACTGTAGTATTTGTATCTTTTTCTTAAGAAATGAGTAAATTTCAGAGTCCCTAAGTCCTAGGTCCAGGGGAAGGTTGAGGTAGATCCAGACTGGTAGCAGAATATGGTGCTTGGGCACAGCATTCTGGCTTCCAGTCAGACACTAGGATACTACAGAATAAGGCCAGGGAGAAATTGAATCCAAAAGACAGAGTCCAGCAGTTTGGCTGAGTTTCTGGACCACACTATTCTACCCTCTCTACTTATAAAGTGGATCAGCATTACAGAAGGGGCTTTGGGAGCTGGGCAGATTCTAGATGTTGATGCCAGAAAGATTCTTCCCTTGTCAAGATAAATCTACTTAGCAGAGCATGGTGGCACACATTTGTAATCTCAGCAACGCAGGAGACTGAAGCAAGATTGCTAGTGTGAGACCAACCTTGGCTACATGGATACTTTAAGGCTTCTCTGTGCACATAGTCACGAAACAAGCCATTGTCTAAAAAAATCAACTTAAACAACAATCCTAGTTGGGGGACTGATGGGGCAGAAGCATGAGGCATAGGGAAACTGAAGCAGACAGTAGCTAAGAGTCTTTCAAAGACAAAAGTAATACTAAGGCTCAAATCTGGGTGGTCATCAACTTAGGGTAAAAGAAGGAGTCATAGCAGAGAACCCCAAGAGAGTGGTGACAGGTGGGGAACTTATATGTCCCCAGTATGCACCAAGGCCCAGGAGTAAGACAGCACCTGGATTTCCCTCGGGAGAGGAGAGGCCTGATGGTGTGCCACCAATGCCTTGCTAGTTTGATTTCTAGCTGGGAAATCCTTCCTCATGATGCCAGCCAACCACGGGAATGTCTTCAAGCTAATGCCTTCTGCAGTGCAGCACTGTACCCGAGTCAATACCATTCTGAATACCATTCTGCTGGGCCTGGCTCAGCCAAACTCTAGGAGGGTGTGGCTGGGAACATGTTCCCTCTCACTAAACTGTGTGGTACAGCATCCTCAGGGCAGGGTTCATATGTCAGGTCACTAATTTCTCTGAACCTGGATTTCAATATATGATATAAAATCTAGAAATTCTCTCTCTCTGTGACAGAATCCCATGTGGTCCAAGTTGACCCCAAACTTGGTAGCTAAGGGCAACCTTGAATTTTTTATCCTCTTGAGGCAGGGATTATAGGCACATACCATCATGCTCTGTGTATGAGATGCTAATGACTGAGCCCAGGACTTTGTGCATTCCAGACAGGCATGCTACCAACTGATCTATATATACCTTGTCTGTCTGTCTTTCGTTATTTCTTCCTGACCTGACTATAACGTTCAGGATTACCTTGTATTCTTGGGGCCAAGCAATCCTCCTGCCTCAGCTCCTAAGTAGCTATGATTACAGGCTACCTATCACATTTCATTTGCAGTGTTGTAAGTGCTAAGTGAAACATTAGCCTTTGCTGACAGCCTCTGCATGCCAGGCCCTTTGATAATTAATCACTTTGCTCATGCTCTGATTTATGCTCTAACAGCCTGATGAGGTAGTTCTAAGATGGCCTCTGTTGACATCTTGGCAAAGTGAACAGAAAATGAGTTGGGGACTGCAGGGCCTACAACTCTGTGTATAAAGTAGGACATAAAGCCACCCCTTAAGATGTTCACCCCAGGTGACTATGACCTCCTTGGGTTACTGACATGTCATCCTGTCTGTGTTCCAGTCTCTCAGCCCATACACCTGCTTGCCACCTCTTAGTGGGACACCCCAGCCCCTTGGCTCCTATAGATTGCATCCTGATTCAGCAACTGACCTGCTGTCTGCCCTGACCAAAGAGGAGCAAGACCTCATTGGACCAGTGGTTGCTTTGGGCTATCCCCTGGGAAGGGCCATTGTGGCTCTGCAGAAGACAGGAAGGCGGAGCCTGAGCCAGGTGAGTGGGCCCAGGGCTGAGGGGCTGCCATGCTGGAGTTAGGTAAAGTTAACTGACTTTTTACCTTTAACTTGAAAAAGGTTTTGTTCCCCTATCCTGTCTCCTCTCTTGAAGTCTAGGGATCAATGGGCCTTGTACATAGCAGGCAACCTCTCATTAGTCCAGAGCTCCAGTCCTTGCTTCCATCTCTTTAGAGGGAGAACCTCAACTTGGCACAAATTACCAAGTTTGAGGTTGAATTTCTAGGTCTTACTGCTATCCTGTCCACAGGGCTTCACAGGAATCCCTATGGCCATGTGGGGGAATCTCTGTATTTGAACCCTATCCTAGTCCATGCCCCAAATAAAGGAGGCTGGAGCTTTAGGCAGTCAAAAGTTTCTCTAGAACTGTCCAATAGGGCAATCTCTACTGAGAGATATGCATATGTGTGTATTTGCTCATGTATGTGCTGGTGTGTGTGTATGTGTCTGAAAATATGTGTGAAGGCTGTAGGTCAGCCTCGGGTGTCTTCCTCAGATACTGTCACATCTGTTTAGGCAGTCTCTTACTTCTAAGTGATATTTACTGCTTCAGCTAGGGTGGGTGCCTCAGTCCAGTGATTGGCGATACTTGCCAGCTAGGGCACATTTCTTCAGAAAACTAGCCCAATTGGTTCCAGTTGGTTCCAAAAGTGTAAGAGCAACGTTTCAAAGTCACCTGAGCTTTCAGATTATCTGTAGTCACTTCCACCTCTTTCGTCAGTCAAAGCATGTCCTAGACAAGTCCAGATCTAAAGGGTGGAGAAATAGACTACTCTTGATTGGAGCGACTGCTTCAAAGAAATCTTATCCATTGTCAACCTACTACAAAGAGGTTCCAGTGCTTGGGGAACGTTTCATGGGAGTTCCACACACTGAGGTGGACTGCAAGGCTAGAAGAGCTCTGACTCTGAGGTAAGAGCTACCATGACAGGGACAAGGTCTTTGGGAGATGCTACCTAAACAGTCTAGCTGTTGGAGGTATGAGAAGCAGGCTTCTGGGACTTAAGAAAGAAAATTGGGGGCCAGTTGAGGGTACCTTGAAACCTAGATCAAAATGTTGGTAAATGACCCAGGAGACAAAAGGGACGTATGGAAGGACTGGAGCAGCAATGGGAGGTGGCACTGAGTGGCACTGCCTTCACCCACACCCGACTCCCGATGTACCATCCCCGCTTTGCATCACTTTCTAAACATCAGGATGCTTTGTGGTTGGAAATCTGGCTCCTAGAGGCAGGTGGGTCTTCGTGAGTTCGAGGCCAGCCTGGGCTACAGAGTGAGTGCCAGGACAGGCTCCAAAGCTACACAGAGAAACTCTGTCTTGAAAAAATAAAAAACAAAAAACAAAAAACAAAAAAAAAAAAAAAGAAAGAAAGAAAAAGAAAAAGAAAAAAGAAAAGAAAGAAAGCTGGCTCCATGGCAATTGGTCCTTCCTCAGCTCCTTCAGGATCACTCCCCACTTGAAAGACATTTTATTAAGTCCCTTTCTCCTAGATAAATGACAGATGACCCAGGAGAGAGGCCATTGGGTTACGGAGACAAGGCACTTAGAGAAAAATGGAAAAAAGCTTTGGACATTACTCACTCCTTCCTTCCTCCCCCCCCTCTTTCTTTCCCCCTTCTTCCTTCCCTCCCATTTCCCCCTCTCCCTCCCTTCCTCTCTTCCTTACTGTCTCTCTCTCTCCCTCCTTCCCCAGCCTTGATGTGTCCACTGCAACCAGCAAGGCGGGTTCATAGGCCAAGTGCAGATCTGCTGAGGGACACTTGTAGACCTGACTCTGAGCATAGTTTGAAAGTCATTCACTCCAACCCCTTCCATAGCTGAAGATATGGAGGCCTGCCAGAGTCCCAGAATGAGGGTCCATATATCCTACCTTTCAAGGCCTCTTGGTCACGCTGATTAGCTGAAGTGGGCTGCAGGAATGGCAGGAGGGCTCTAAGCTGACATGACAGTGGACAGGGACTTGGGAGAAATTGTCACCTCCAGAGAAAGGGAGAGTGGACAGGGGCAGATGGTGGATGCTCCCTGACAGCAATGTTCCCAACCTTGGTGCTTTTTGCAACTGTTCTAGGAGCATTGAAAGATACTAATAGGGTCTCACTAGCAAAGCGTCTCATATAACTGATTTGGGACAGAGCCTGGACTTTGGGACAAGCTTGTGGCTCATCAGGTGATTTTTGTTGTTGTTTATTTGGTTTTTTTTGTTTTTTTTTTTTTGAGAGACAGTTACTATGTGTAGCCCTGGCTATCCCGAGATAGCCTCAAACTCAGAGATCTGCCTGCTTCTGATGGAATTAATGGCTTGTGCCACCACACCCGGCTCTCCAGATGTGCTCCTGCAGCCATAGGCCTCCAGCTTCAGGCAGCCGGCTCTCAGCTGCTTCTTGCTGAAGCTTCCTGGGCTGGGACAAATAGAACAAGAGCTCCAAGAGTTTGCAAACCACAGGCCTGGACGATCTGTGTGGTTTGTGATCTCGGCGGCGGCTCTGAATGTCAGCAGAAACTTGACCTACTCTTTCTCAGCTACACACGTGGTTCTCTTCAGCCTAGAGTTTTATCTGGCACCTGTCCCCTATAAATCCTGCTTAGATTTGCCCAGCACTAGCATAGTCCCCCAAGTCTCCTCTGCTAAGCTGTGAGTTCCTTGAAGATAGTTCTTAATTGGTTTTATGAACACAGCCTGTGTTTATTGCGCTACTTTGCCTCCCCTGCTAGTGTTGGGAGTGCAGTGGCGGTGTACTAACCTTCCACTGTGTGCCAAAAGTGAGTGGACACAAATATAAAGTGAAGTAGTGAGCGCTGCAATGGGTGGGTGGGGCCTAGGAGCCCCAAAGATGACCCAGTAAAGACAGTCTGCAGAGAGGCCTCCTGGGAGGAGAATGAGGCTGGTCTTGGATGGGAAGCTACATGAAGGCTGAGAGAAAAGGAGGAAGCTGGGGCTATGAGCAGGATGGGGTATGGTGAAAAGGCAGCACATCTGTTCTGACCTCAAACTCACTATGTAGCTGAGTATGATCTTTAACTTATGTTATCAGTGTATGTGCATGTTCATGAGTGCCTGGGTGCATGTGGTATATGTTTGTGCATCTGTGAGTGTGCAGGTACAGACACTCGTGGGTGCATGAGAGGGAGATCAGAGAAAATAATCTGTTCTGTCCCTCTCTGCTTTATTCCCTTGAGACAAGATCTCTCAAGGGAATAGCTAGGCTGGCAGGCAACAAGCCCCAGGCATTCTGCTTCTGTTTCCTGGGGTGCTGAGGTGACAGTCTGCTGTGTGGCAGAACTCAGATCCTCACTTTTATGAAGCAAGTGCTCTTACCCGCTGAGCCATCTCCTTAGCCTTGAACTTCTGATCCTCCTACTTCCATCTCTCCCTGGCACCATGGTGCCCAGGTGCTGGAACCTCAATCATGCTAGGCAAGCACTCCACCAACTTAGCTGCCACTTATTTTGGTTTTTGTTGCTATTAGTTTTTTGAGACAGGTCTTGCTATGTTACTGGTTAGCCTCAAGGTCACTGTGTAGTGTGGCCAGCCTTGATCTAATGATCTAATGATTTGCCTAATGAAGGCAAAACAAGTCACTGATGGTATAATGAGGGGTGATATGAACAAGTTTTCAGCCCCTGGAGAATTTCCTCTGCCACTTCCCCTCCCCCAACTGTGGTATAGACTGTTGTCTGGTGGGAACTCTACTCATCCTAGGTGACAGGATGGGTCGTCATGGTAGTACATGTGGTGGCTGTGGTGCGTTGACATGTTTAGAGCTTGCCCTGCACCCCATGTAGGCTCTATGAACATTTGAACAGCCCTTTTCTTGGATTCTATCCCTCAACCTGGGACATTTGTTAAGGACCTGTTGTCACTCATCTGCTGGTTCTCAAAGGAAGCCTGTCCCTCTTCTGTTGACTCCCTGCTTCCTGTGATAGGTTGTCGAGCTGTGTGGCTTTGGGGAGACCCTTGGGTGACTCCCTAGCATGGCTCTGCCTTTCCTCTTACCGTCTTTTTCCCTCTGCCCTCTTTGGCCCAGTTTCTCAGCTACCTCAGTGCCTGTGAGAGGCTGCTGCGGCAGGGCTACGATGAAGCCCTCGTGGATGAGGCCATGGAGATGTTCCAGTTCTCTGAGCACAAGGTCAGCTGGGCCCAGGGAGTGGAAGCATGGGGTGCAGGGGTGCAATGGCCCCAGAGCAGCCTGTGGACTGGTCAGGAGAGAACTAGCCTGCTCACACTGGGACAAGAGTGGAGTACAGCCACAGATGGGAGACCAAGAATGCAGAGGTGGAGAGGCCGGAGGTTCCGGGCTTTTCCATGGGTGACCGAATCAACACACCACTTATTATTAGGTACCTGATGTTTTTGAGACTCATACAGGAGCAGACTGGAGATCCTTGAACTCAGAGAGTTTATGCCCTTACAGCATTCACGAAGCTGCAGGCCGCACAGAAAGAAACAAGTGCCCATTGACAGTACCTGCCTCATTGACGGACAGCAATTCACAGGACTGAGTGCTTAGAGGAAAACACAGGGCGAGTCTTCAGCAGAGGCTGAGTAGAGTAAAACCCAACACTACCAACACACAGGCAGCACCCCTGGCTCAGCCTCTGGACCTGCTGTGCAGCCCTCATCCTGCCATAATGCCAATCACAGGGAATCAGAGTCAGCCAGATGATGGAGCCTCAGCAAGACTGGGGCCTCCTTTCCTTGGTAGAGGAAGAAAGCATGGAGCTCTTATCCCCAGAGGAAGAGGAAAATGACAGGCATAGCCCAGGGTCAGGTTTCCCTGGTGAAGGGACCGAAGATTTCTGGGATGGTTTGAAGTGTAGTGGGCACTAGGGAGGGGGTTACCCGGGACTGAGGCAGCCTTGCCGTGATGGAGTACCCTGTCTCCCTCCTCTTCAGGCAGGGGAGTTCTTGCGTCTCTGGCAGCAATTCAGTGACATGGGCTTCCAGCAAGACCGGATCAAGGAGGTGCTGCTAGTCCACGACAATCGGCGTGAACAAGCCTTGGAGGAGCTGGTTGCCTGTGCCCAATGACAAGCCAGGATACTCTGTGATACATGGCTGACCAGTGCTGTACCTGACCTGCCACCCATCCTAACTGCATTATTAAAACCCAATAAGACAAGCCAGGTGGTGATGGTGGTGGTGGTGGTCCACATCTTTAATCCCAGCCTTCTGGAGTCAGGAACCAGCCTGGTCTAGAGCTAGTTCCAGGACAGCCAAGGCTGTTACACACTGCCTTAGTTAGGGTTTCTATTATCATGAAGAGACACTATGACCACTCTTACAAAGGAAAGCATTTAATTGGGTGTCTTACAGTTTCAGAGGTGTAGTCCATTATTATCATACCAGGACACAGTGGCATGCTGGCAGTCATGGTGATAGAGAAGGAGCTGAGAGTGGAGAAGGAGCTTCATCTTGACCCACAGTAAGTGATCTGAGACACTGAGTGTGGCTTGAGCACATGTGAGACCTCAAAGCCCATCTCCACAGTGACACACTTCCTCAACAAAGCTAAACCAACTCCAACAAAGTCACACCTCCTAATAATGGTGCTCCCTATGAGCTTATGGGGGCAATTACATTTAAACTGCCACACACTGAAACTCTGGGGGGGGCAAAAAAAAAACAAAGCAAAGCAAAACCTAGTAAGACTAAAACCAGGTGTGGTGTCACAAGCCTTTAATCCCAGGGAGGCAGAGGCAGGTGAATCTCTGAGAGTTCCAGACCAGCCTGGTCTACAGAGTGAGTTCCAGGACAGCCAGGGCTACACAGACCTCAAAAACCAACCAACCAAACAAACAAACCTAACAAGGCTAACAAAGCAGGGCATGCTCACCATGAAGCAAAGAGAAAGCCAAGGGTGGAAGTGGCTGCTACTTTCTGGAAGCAGCAAGTGGAGAGAAACAGTTTCTCAGAGAAGCGGCTTTAGTCCCAGCACTCAGGAGGCACAGGCAGGCAGATCTCTATGAGTTTAAGGCCAGCGTAGTCTACAGAGCTATTTCCAAGACAGACTGAGCTACATAGCAAGTCCCTATCTCAAACTTAGCAAAACAAAGGAATCTGACCAGGTCTACATTTTCCAGACCTGGCTCCTCTTCCATGAGAATCCTTGGGGAATCCCCGGGTCCATCACTTTATATCTGATTCAGAAAGCACAGATGGGTAGCCTGCAGGAATTTGAGGGTTTGTTGTTGGTTGGTTAGAATTGTATTGTTTTGTTTTTTCTATATTACCTGGTTGATCTTGAACTTGTGAGCTTCAGTGATCCTTCTGTGACCTCAGTCTCCCAGGTAGCTGTCCGACAGGTGTCTGATGTCTGAGGCTCTCTGGAGGTCTTTGCAACGCAGCAGGCCTATGATCCTCTAGATAATCTTGGTCAGATATCAGCCTATTATCTTTGAGAGTTGGGATGACAGTTATCTCTAGCCACCCCAAGCCTGTATTTAAGAGGCCTCAAGTGATTGAGAGGACCAGTTGCCAGAGAGGCCTGTGACTCAGGCAAGAGGTCAGAGGCCCTGAACTGGTGCCCTGTATCTCACAGGAGCCGACCAAAATCCTCTGACAGTTACCAGGATTCAGACCTTTCATTCCCTTTGCTCTGAAAACAGAGCTAGAGTGGAGGTCTATGGAAAACCCAAGAAAAAGTGCCCATGTCTCTAGGCACTTCACTCCCTTGCTCAGTGTTTATTGGGGACTTCTACAACTGAAACAGCAAGCTCAGGACTGTTAGCTGTTGGGGAACATTATTTTAAGGTGTGTTACTTTTGTGTGTGCTGCATTTGTTTAACTCTGTAAAGCTGTGTTACTGTGCCTGTCTGAAACACCTGGTGGCCCTAATAAAGAGATGAATGGCCAATAGCAAGGCAGGAGCAAGGGTAGGTGGAACTGGCAGACAGAGCAAATAAATAGAAGGAGAACCAAGGATGAGGGAGGAACAATGAGAGAACAAGGAAAGGAGGACATTAGGAGCCAGCCGCCCAGCCGCCCAGCCGCCCAGCCGCCCAGCCGCCCAGCTAGCCACCCAGCCGCCCAGCTAGCCACCCAGCCGCCCAGCCATCCAGGTATGCAGCAATCCATGGAGTAAGAATAAGATTTACAGAAGTAACAGAACAGGAAAAATCAAGAGGCAAAGGGTAGATGGGTCAATTTAAGAGAAGAAAAGCTGGCTAGAAACAAGCCAAGCTGAGGCCAGACATTCATAAGTAATAATAAGATTCAGTGTGTAATTCATTTGGGAGGTGAATGGGAGGACCCCCCCAAAAGAGAAAATCATACTGCAATTATCCAGGTCTCCTGAGGCCCACCAAGCTCTTTTGTGCCTTCTGCTAAGTCTCAGTGCTGGTAAGCTTGAAATACATTAAAACTACTCCCTGGGGTGGTGGTGGTGCACATATCTAATCCCAGCACTTGGGAGGCAGAGACAAGCAGATCTCTGTGAGTTTGAGGCCAGCCTGGTCTACAGAGCAAGTTCCAGGACAGGCTCCAAAGCTGCAAAGAAACCCTGTCTCCAAGAAACAAAAACAAAACAAAAGGAAAAAAATGTTCCCTGACCTTCTAACTTGCTTTGAGTAAGTTGAAGGCAATGCACAGGGAAGTATTTGGAAAAATCAGCTAGAGAGCATAAAGTTAGTCATGAGTCCATTGCTAAAAATCAAACTGACATGGAAAAGAGTAAAATTAAAGTCTGGATGCCAAGAAGCCATGAGGGACCTGAGGCTTTTCATGTTCCTCTTAAGTTAATGTGACTCAGAATGCCACTTTTGGTAAGTCCATTGAACTAGCAGTGACCAGCTGGCAGGCCCACAAGCCACTCACCACTCCCTCCTTTCCTCCTGCCACCAGCTCTGCCATTCCCACCTCTTGGAAACTATTGCTTACAAATGAGACAATAGAAAAACTGTTACTTTACAATAAACATTGTTTAGTGTTTTTTAAACATTTCATTCATTTATATATTGGCTTTATAAGTTTGATTAGGGTTATTGACAGGAGCATGGGCAATTTACCAGCAGCTACACTAAAGAAAATGTCTCTCCTTCCCTCACAGTCATTAACTGCCTATAGGATCTATAGTATAGATCCTCAGGGAGGGGTGGTGCCTTGTTAGCCACACCCCCTTGACCATTTTTTTAAGGAGATGGAAAAATATAGTTTGAGGCATGGATTCTGAAATCAAATGGGGCTGTATGTTCAGCCTTGTTGCTAACTAGCTGTGTGATCTTTAGAAAGTTGCTCATCTTCTCTGTCTGTTTCTCATTCATAAAAACATACTGAAACTTTTCAATAATGTTGAATGGGATAGTGCATAGGATGCATCTACCAGCCACTCACATACATTTTCTCCCTTTCCTTGTTCTATAGCCACCACCCTTCTATGCTCATTCTGCCTGTCATTTAACACACAGCAGCTGATACTATTTGCTTAGGGAGAGGTTCAAGTTTAAGACAGTTCCCAGCTAATGATGCTGGGGTGGGGTGTGGGGAGAGATGGTGGAAGTTACGATGTGTCCTTGCAGAGGACATCTCAGTCACTGTTATGTGGACTCCCACCACAATGCTCTGCCGCACCACAGGCCCCCAAACTACAGAGCGGCCATCAGCTGGAACCTCTGAAACTGTAAGTCAGAAATGTCCTTGGTTTTCTCATCCATTTCCCCAGCTACAGAAAACTAACATGGCGGAATTCTGTAACCAAACCCAGAACCTGAGCAAATCTGTTCCCCCAGGGGCCCATCCTCTCTGATCAGCTGAAGAAAGTAGCTGGAAAAATGGCAGCTCTAGACTAACACTAAGGGTCAGATGGCTCCTGATACCAGCAGATGATACACACAGGCTACGGGAAGTGGGGCTGTAGAGAAGATGACCCCTGCAGGGGAGGCCAAAGGATGGGTGAGTCCAAGCCTGGCCCAAGAAGCAAATTCAGCCCTATTTCTTGCTATCCCACTGTCCTCTCAGGTGTTGCCCCCTCTTTGGTCCCCACTAAGTTCCTGAGAGACACATGCTAGTGGGTGAAAAAGGAAAGCCCATGACCTGACAGGACCATTGTCTTGAAAGCTATTTCAAGCTGAGCTTTCAACCTCATTGTGTCCCCAGGGAACTGGGCAAAACGTCCTCTGTTTAGCTCACCCTTGGCCACTTCCTCTGACGCACTCTGGTGATTACTCTGGGTCCCCTGGGCTAATCCAGGATGATCTGCCTTCTCACAGTGCCTAGCCTAATCTATCTGCAAAGACCTTTCTGTGGAAATGACAGTTCACAGGTTCTAGGAATTAGAATAGAACCTTTTGGGAGGATCATTATTCAGCCTGCCTCATGGGGAACAGTGCTATCTCCACATAATATATGTGATTAATGGTAACAATCTGGGCTTATATTATACATGGGACATTCCTGTTTTTATTTTTATTTTTGTTTTTTTTTTTTTTTTTTTTTTTTTTTTTTGAGATAGGGTTTCTCTGTGGCTTTGGAGACTGTCCTGGAACTAGCTCTTGCAGACCAGGCTGGTCTCAAACTTACAGAGATCCACCTGCCTCTGCCTCCCAAGTGCTGGGATCAAAGGCATGTGCCACCGCTGCCCAGCTGTGACATTCCTATTTTAATGGAATGATAATGAGGCAGGTGTCTGTGAGGCCTTGAGTTCCTAGTTCCACTGGCTGATGTGCAGGTAGGTCAGGCCCTCCTAAGGCTGGCCCTCACTGGCACAGCGCCATCTGGAGGAGCCTTGCTACTCTGGCTTTTATGTGAGGGGTGTCCCCCCCCACACACACACACACACTTGCAGCTGTCATGGGAGGAGAGTTGGCCACAGTGCTGCCATAGCCGCCTCTCCGCTTGACCTTTCCATGCAGGGGACAGTGGAGAGAGACGCTCCCCCTAGATCATAGTTGGTTGGAGTAAAGAACTCAGGAGTCCCAAATCTCTTCCAGAACCCTCCCCATCTGTCATCCCTTTCCCTCCATACTCCCTAGGCTCAAGTCTGTCCTGTGGCCCCTGTCCTCTGTCTGCCTGCTGTTAAAGGAATCTTTGCTGGC